CCCCCCCCCTCCACCCCCACCCCTACCCCCTCATCTTTAGGTTTCGAGGAGCCCTTTGGGCCCTCGGAACCGACCATCAAGGGCTTGGTTGGAGTGGCCGAAAGGCCGGCTGGAGGTCATATTAACAAACCCCCGCCTTGCGAACCGGGGCACTCGAAAACAACGTCATCTACCGTTAGCTGATGACCGAGGAAGCTGGCCTATCTCACGTCCAAAGGCTTATCTCTCGTCAAGGGGGCCAGGACCAACGGCGAAATGGAAGCGGGTGGCAGGAAGCGGGAAGTGGGAGGCGGGTGAAGCACAGCATATCGCCCGGGCCGGGGACATCATTAGCATTTCCACGCCTCCTAAACAAATTGTCATGGTGAAAGGCGGTGGCGGCGAAGGCCAAATGTCATGCGGTCCGAGCGGGGCCTACAGACAGAATCCACAAATGATGTTTATTATGGTGTTTTAGATAGCCTCGGTCTTCATAAACACCAAAATGAGCCTGCCACCATCACCCAGCGCCCGACTCTCCCTGTTCCGCCACCCTCTGTTACACGCGCGACTCCCTTTGCTGCGCCACCCTCTGTTACACGCTCCCGACTCTCCCTGTTCCGCCACACTCTGTTACACGCGCCCGACTCACCTCTGCTCCGCCATCCTCTGTTACACGCGCCCGACTCTCTCTGCTCCACCATCCTCTGTCACACGCGCCCGACTCTCTGCTCCGCCACCTTCTGTTACACGCGCCCGACTCTCTCTGCTCCACCACCCTCTGTTACACGCGCCCGACTCTCTCTGATTCGCCACCCTCTGTTACACGCACCCGACTCCCTCTGCTCCGCCACCCTCTGTTACACGCGCCCGACTCTCTCTGCTCCACCACCCTCTGTCATACTTCTTCCACAATTCGTGGCTATCACTGGGCTGGATAAGCTAGAGGGTGCACCCAGAGGTAACTGATTAGTCTGTTATGCATTGGAACAATAGTTCAGTGCTAAACATTCCGAGCAAATGACCACTGCAATCTGAGCAAATGATCACTCTATATTCTGAGAAAAAATGTCACTCGTTTAGGCAGCAGGCATATGGGTTGAGCTTTAGTGCTGGATATGGCGCCAACTCATCGCGCTCTTTACGTAGATAGTTGAAAGAGAGGTGCAGAGATATCGTGTAAACCAGTTTTATTTTAGCTTTAATGTGGCTCCTTGCAGAGCTTGGTGTCTAGCACCTGCCCGGCGTTTACAATCTCCAAAACATGACATATCTTGGCGAGATCATGTTGGGCAGGGTAGAGACAAAACGTTATGTTTTAAGGCCTTTCGACGTTTTGCGACAGCAATTTCCGGAGTAGGGAAGCTCACGTTATCGTGGGGCCGCCCATGCTACCATGAGTTATATTCCCGATGGGTTAATTTCGGCGGGACAGCATGTTTTTGAGGCGGGTTACGTCGGCAGTAGCTGCTTCAAAGGCAGAGCTTACTGCCCCTGCCTGCAGCAGACATCTCGTCAACGCCTGCAATGATTTGCTGACTGCGATCAGGTGCAGCAAATGTGGGACCTTTGCTACGCAGTTGGGAAATTAAACTTGGTTTTCAACGATGTACAATATCTGATGCTGTTTTGTTTTATCAGGCCGGATATGCCTTTTTCGTTGCTTACCGTATCGGGATGAGGATCAAGTGTAACAACTCCTTCACTCCACCAAAGCAGAAAAGTAAAAGGATATAGGGGCAGATGTGAACCCATGAGTAACGAATATGAATGCATCACTGAAAAAACGGCAGTACTTCACGGTAATGCAAATTTAAAAGCCCATGTTCAATGCTGTACAAATATGTCGCAGATCGTTGCATAACTGCAAATTAATTGCATACTTCATTGCACTGTACAACATTGCATAAATTTTTACTAATGGGCTATGACCGCACTTAAGTGGGAACTGTGATGACGGACTTAAATATATAAGGAAAAGAGATGCTATTTATCATCCTTTAAACAGTGCTGGCCATTAAAGGTTAACATCATGGCATCGGACAGCTCCATCAAGCCTAATCCTGGCTTTTAAGCCGCTCTGAACGTTTTCCTAACTTCCCGAAATCGATGTTGAAAGACCCCTCTTCAAAACTAGATCAAAACTTTATGATCTCAGAAACTCCTTGAGCAAAGACCTAAGACCGGTAAAATCCTTCGGCCCCTGTTAAAACTATCCAAGATCTCAGAGGATCCTGCAATAACCTTTCTAAAAAGATCCAGGATCTTAGATCTTGAAACCAGACCTTAAAGGCCCGACTCCGGTTCAGGGATACCGACAGCCGCTGGGATGAGTGATCGGGGAGACTGGTGTCCGGGTGTGATCGGGGAGACCGGTGTCCGCTGGGGTGAGTGATCGGGGAGACCGGTGTCCGGGGGGGTGAGTGATCGGGGAGACCGGTGTCGGGGGGTGAGTGATCGGGGAGACCGGTGTCCGCTGGGGTGAGTGATCGGGGAGACCGGTGTCCGCTGGGGTGAGTGATCGGGGAGGCCGGTGTCGGGGTGGTGATCGGGAGAGACGGGTCCGCTGGGGTGAGTGATCGGGGAGACCGGTGTGCTGGGGGTGAGTGATCGGGGAGACCGGTGTCCGCTGGGGGAGTGATCGGGGAGACCGGTGTTGCTGGGGTGAGTGATCGGGGAGGCGTGTCGCTGGGGTGAGAGTACTGGTGTCCGTTGGGGTGGGTGATCGGGGAGGGGACCGGTGTCGGCTGGCGTCAGGCCATCTATCCAAGACGCAGGATGCTGGCGGCGATGGAACTACGAAAATTCGACAGCAGAGGCTACAGATGACGACCCTCTGATGAAGACCTCATCACTCCGAAAACGGAGTGTCATCAGCGGACGGCTCCAGGGTGACGCCCTCAGGTGAGGATCCCTTACTCCCAGATGGGGGAGTCATCAGCGAACGGTTCCACATGACCACCCTCTGGTGAAACTATCATCGCTCTCCGATGGGATGCCATCAGTGGACGGCTCCAGATGACGCCCTCAGATGAGGATCCATTACTCCCCGATGGGGTGTCATCAGTGGATGGCGCCATTGGTTGATCAGATGTCCTCATCGCTGGACGAAACACTGTCGTACAGGATTACTGATCTATAATGATTACTGATCACTGACCTATAATGATTACTGATCACTGATCTATAATGATTACTGATCACTGATCTATAGGACATCCACGCCTCAAAGTGTGGTTCCATGATACATACGTACGCCTGCAAGCGTCAAGAAAATTGTTCATGTGCAATAATCCCCTTCGTGAGGCCTTCTCTCCAGGCAAGTTGTTCTGTGGCGAGTGTTTTGTTGTTAGACGGCTCAAGCAGTAAGCCAGTTCACGGAACCAGATGGCGGCTCCCCACCGACATCAGGTAATTAAGCGCTCCAAACCATCAGCCCGGCTCATTAAGAAACAGTCAGCAAACACATGTCGGGGACTTCATGATATGACATACGTTTTGGAACATTTTATGCTTCTGCTGATTCAAGTACGTTTATCAGATAGATAGCGTGCACACGTCAGATGATGTCATCGTTAGATCGACCGCCCGCTGATGGCGATCAGCGTCAACATGCAGTCCTGGTCATTGAGTTGCTCATGCTGTCTTAAGCACTTATTTCCTGATGCTTCTCGGGTGCATGCTGACAAATAAATCGGCTTTCGAAGTGGATAAAAATCACCGAAGCGGGCCACGGTGTCAGGGACAATTGGATAAAGTAGGCGATTTAAAGTCCCAATCCTTTTCATTTTCAATTTCGGGTTGCTACTACCCGGGAAGGCTATATCCGGTTGTGGAAATAAGCACAGCTTACCTTCTCCCGGCCATCATCTCAGCGCTAGTCAATGCCCAGATCCTCTCGCAGATCCGGTATTGCATCTCAGTATGTGGTAACGATACGAGAAAGACCTTCTCCTACAGATAAACACGGATTACTCCGCGAATGCAATTTTCGGCCGCCACTTAACTCCGTCATTCACCGCATCCGGTCAGCAGACTGGGCCAATTCAGGCCGGAGGGCCGGATCAAGCACCATACACCGTGTCTCGCCTAACACACAAGCCATCTCGGTCAGGCAGCGGAGCCGGCTGCAGGCCTCCACACCGCTGCGGAGACACGAGACCTGCCCGCCCACTGAGCTAATCACGGGGGTGTCCCAGCCCCACACCGGCAGCGGAGCTGGCTGTGGGCCTCCATACCGCTGCGGAGGCACGAAACCTGCCCGCCCACTGCGCTAATCACGTGGGTGTCCCAGCCCCGCACCGGCAGCGGAGCTGGCTGTAGGCCTTCATACCGCTGCGGAGACACGAGACCTGCCCGCCCATCGAGCTAATCACGGGTGTGTCCCAGCCCCGCGCCGGCAGCGGCATGAGCGTGTCAGCTGTCCTGGTCGCCACGCTGTACAGCTCGCTGCCGCCCCAACCATCGCGGCCCGCGGCGCCTCTCGTTAATGGCCGCCTAAGGTGACACATTGCCCGAGGTCACGTCTGCCTCGGACGGACGTGTGACGCCGCGGCCCGCGGCGCCTCTGCCCCCCAGGTGATGTCTGCCTCGCACCGACGTATGTTTTCAGGACTGCGCTGGACGTCATGTTATTATGGCCTGCCTATTACGAAATGGATGCGGGTGTGGGTATATTCAGTGATAAAGACACATTTCCCATATTGGATATTGAAACGAGAGGCTCTTACAGACACGGCGACAAGCCAATTGTGTATCGCCAGACAAAGCCTGTTCCTGTATCTGTATATCTTCGGATAACACCACCTGAATGCTTGAGAGATCAGGGTCGAAAAATGTACGAATCATTGACAATGCATTCTCCTCGCATGATGCCTCTTGGCACTTGATCTACATCACGCACCGCAGGGCACCCTCAACGCAGGCTATAGAAACGGAGGGTCTGGAAGCGCATGAGGGGCGAGTAAGCCTGTGCTCACCTGTTCATGACGGGAGAGTACGCAATGATGATGATTGCTCACCTGTCTGATGATGGAAGAGTATGCAATGATGATGACGATGAGAGGAATGATGAAGCCCATGGTGAACAGCAACAAAAAGTACGTCCTGTTGGAGACGCTGCGACTGAAGTAATCCCATGAACAGGACGTGAGAAAACCTGAAACATATACGGCAACAATGACAGAACCGACGACAGCTGTGGGATCATTTGGGGCACTTGTAGACCTGTTCCACGTGTGCATGCTGCAGTGGTTGCTGTTTGCGTTTGCTGTGTATCTAGTAGAAGTGTCTATGCCAAAGAAAATGCAAATCCTACGCATGGTTAATACGTTGAAACTGCAGATCGCTTTCCAATTTTTTAACTGGGTACTCCCAACGTTCCGTCGAAGTTAAAAATCAAGTAAGAAAACTATAGCATACCAAATTTGAACCCCATGAGCAAACAAGAGTTGCATCACACGCACACTAGCGGGGACACTGCTGGTTGAACTCGCATCGTGCGCGGACGCAGACGCAGACGCAGACGCAGACGCAGACGCAGACGCAGGCGCAAACACGGACGCATACGCAGACGCAGACGCAGACGCAAACACGGACGCATACGCAGACGCACGCCCAGACAGACGCAAACGCAGACACACACCCAGACACAGACGCACACGCACACGCACACGCACAGCGGAAACAGACACAGACGCAGACGCAGACGCAGACGCAGACGCAGACGCAGACGCAGACGCAGACGCAGACGCAGACGCAGACGCAGACGCAGACGCAGACGCATACGCTGACGCTGGCGCAGACACAGATGCAGACACAAACACAGGCATAGACAGACACAGGTGCAGGCGCAGGCAGACACAGTCACAGGCGCAGACACAGACTCGGTCACAGGCACAGGTCCTACTCCAAACTCCCTCCAGCGCTAGCAAGCATACTGTTTTGTGCGGTCGTCATCAGCGACTCACCTTCCGGGATGTAGGAGCTCCAGCCGAAGAACGGCGGCAGCACCAGCAGCGTGCAGTACACCCAGATGCCGATGCAGAACTGGAAACAACGCCAACATCCCCGTCAGCTCCGCGTGTAGCAGCGTGACGGTGCAAATGCGGACCGAGAACAAGCTCGTCTCCCACTGCCTGCAAAGTCTCTGCCATGCTTCCCAGGCCTGCACCGCCATCAGGTGCATAGCTAGAGTTTCCCTAATAATGCATGTCACTTTGTCCTACGAATTTGGACCAAACTTCGGCGAAATTGCCCATTATCTAGTCTAAATTTAGTCTACTCTAGTCCGTCCCGATGACCAAGTTGGTGAGTGAGCCTGCCTTCCGATTCACCCACCCGTGGCGAGGCGAGTTAGAGTCGCTTTAGGCGCCCACTTTTTGCCCTTGATGGTAGGGTCCAGGCTCAAACAACAAACACTGCTTAGCGTGAGCTTTGATCCCATAAATCCGTCCATTAAAAATGTTCGGGTAAGATCTTTAAAACAATTATGGTTCACGGGGTGAGATCCCCGTGCCCATTCATCGCTCGCTTCTTCCCTGACTCCCATACAGGGACGTCACTTTATATACTTTGGAAGGACTGACCCCTCCCCCGCCCCAATGCTGACTCGAGATCCCCATGGTTCTCTGAGCCCTGCAATGCACATGAGAGAAGAAGGAAAACTGGGTCAAATACATAGAGGGGTATCTTCTTTAGCATTAATATGCTATTAATTAGGTATCTAAGCACATCAGTATTGGTATCATCATAATTTTTCATCGTGATAATTTTGTACCGAATAACATGCTGTAGGTGCCTGATGTTTTGCCATGTCTCTCCCCTACCCCTTCTTATGTTAAGCCAGTCTGCAAATGTTTGACAAGTGTTTCAAATGATCACGTTTGGAGTGTGGCAGCTTTTAAAAGTACGGGGTGGTCCAGATGAAAGAAGATGCATGTTTTCCCCAAAAGTGGCAAGTATGGCTGTCGTATAACATTGGTTGTGATGGTTGTACAACACCAGCACGGACAGCGGTAGGCATCAGTGATCTTTACGATACATTCAGATGTTCTTCAGATGACATGCCGTATTCTACGCTTTTCGCACTAGAGCGGCTCACATTAACTCGAAATGGGAAGTTATTCATCTGGAAAATTATTTGTAATCCAAGAAATATTAAAACAAGTTTATTTTAGACTTTCAACATAGAGGACGCCAATTCAAGTGGTCAAAATCTGGGGAGATGTCAGTTTTTTGGGGCAGGTTAAGTCACCCTTTTCGGCTAATCCCCCTACCTGATTTGAAAAGTAACGCCCCTGCTTCCATGTCAACGAAATGGCGGTAAGAGAAAATCTGGTGTCGCGTTGCCAAAAGCAAATGCACATGAAAAATGCACGGTATCATGATCGTTGCGTAGGCATGCATTACCCAGCCTCCCATTACCATACATTACCATACATTACCATACATTACATTAATCATTATATTACCCAGGCTTTCTGCGCGTCTCGTCTCTATTTTGGAGACGAGACGCGCAGAAAGGATGAAATGCTGACGGGAGGGGGGGGGGGCAAGCAATATGGCGTCGCTGAAACGGGTGAGCCTCTTCGCAGACTGTGGTAAGTGCTCGCGTCGTGCATGGATCCAGGGGCGCAGTTGGTACTAATTACTCTCACGTTTGCGCGAAGTCCAATTTCTTCTCATATTAACACTAGGTATGTTTTCGCGCATCTGACACACCGCTGGATACAATGCTTGTGTATTGCTTGAACTGGCGGATTCACTACAGCAGTGCCCGTTCACCTTGCGCACTTCTTTGGATGCATTCCATGGGCCCTGAAAAGTGACAGTCTCATGGTCCCTGACGGCCATGGAATGGTGCTAGCCTGATTGTCTCTGACGGCCATGAAATGGTGTTGCCACCATGATGGTCTCTGACAGCTCTGGCATGGCGCCAGCCTGATGGTCTCTGACGGCCCTGGAATGGTGCTACGTTGACGGTCTCTGACGGCCCTGGAATGGTGCTAGGTTGATGGTCTCTGACGGCCCTGGAATGGTGCAAGGTTGACGGTCTCTGACGGCCATGGCGTGGTGCTAGCCTGACGGTGTCTGACGGTCATGGAATGGCACTAGGCTGATGGTCTCTGACACCGTGCAGGCCATGGACAATGTCATTTTCCCCTTTAGGCAACGATCGGCAGCAAGCGTCACCTGGCTCTGAAGCCGTAGACAATTCCCACGCAAACCACCGTGGCACGAGACCATATCCCAAATCGTTCCGCAGCTGTCAGAGCAATCTCCCAAGAGTTCAACAACCTCCAAGCGGCGCCTACGTAATGCGAGGCGGAGGTTCCGGGAGAAGAGTCGCTGATGTCATGAACCCGCACCCGGGCACCTCGTCCGAAGAGATCTCATGCGCATTAAGCGCGGCCTTAATGCGAATAGCATCGGCCGTTGCGCGCCCTGAAGCCAGGCCAGGACGGCGATACGTCTCACTTCTGCAACAGCATGACGTCATGACGCTGCCGCGACCCCCGCACAAGATTTATGGGCTTGTAGGCAGGCTTCTGCCGGGGTCCCGGAGGTCTCGTCTGTGAGGAACACCCCAAAAGACGTGTGAGACGGGGGGGGGGGGGGGGCAAAGCGTTGGCTGCTCTAAGGTTCAAGACCTCGTGAACCCTAGAGAATTCTGCAATGATGAACAATGTAAGACTTGGACCCAACCTTACCTGACCTTAACCTTAGTTTCGAAAGTTAGTGTTGCGTGGCCCGGACGGTCCCCTACGCTTATGAATCAACGTAATCGATCGAAACAAGACAGACCGAAGATGTGGTGCAAAATTCGTTTCACCCGTGCTTCTGCTTGCCTCATTCGTTCCGTTTCCCGTCCGGTTCAAGAGAGCCCCAGCATTACGCAATTTTTTTCAAGCGCATTACCCTGGATGCCGTACTGAAGCACGCATTTAGTACGATGTCTCACATCCAAGGGATTCTGAGAGCTCATTAGCCCAATTAAGCTCCCTGGCCTTTGGATATTTACGCAGCGCATTGCGTGGGGTGACTCTGTGAGAATGGTGGGCTAGAATACCTTCACTTCCCTCCCTGACCCTCTTATCCGTCAATGAGGCAACGCACATTGTGTGCGCGCCGTAAAGCCCGACGCTGCACACCCTGAAGACAGCGCCAGGCCGGTCAGAGCCAGGCAGGCGTCACACATAGGCGGAACCCTCGACTTTCACATATAGCCTCGGACAGACAGACGGACAGAGAGGTCAGGGCGCCCGCAGCTGCCATAGCCCGCCAACACCAGCATCGATTCGAGCGGGACGGCACGTGTCGGCCGCGTCGAACGCCTCTCCGTGTCAATGACACGCCTGGCGAGGTACCGCCGGGAGATGGCGAGAGGGGGTTTGGCCTCTCGGTGTCAATGACACGCCTGGCGAGGTACCGCCGGGAGATGGCGAGAGGGGGATCTGCCGAGTCTTCTGCAGACAGCAATGGCTGATGGGACGAGCGAGCGAACAAATGAACGAGGGAGTTGGGGATGGAAGTGAGAGAAATGGAGGAGGTTGGGGGGGGATGGGGAGAAACAGTGGGCCAAAGAAAATGGATGGGGGAGGGACAAGAGAGACAGGCACGAAACCAGATGAAAAGATGCAAAGCAACACTTTAAGGATGATTCAGATAAGACATTATAACTTGGCCTCATCCTTGGTAGGTTAAAAACGCAACGAGCCAGAGCAAACTATAAGTATCAGTAATTCAAAAACCTTTACCTCACTTGATGTTCTCAATGAAGGCAAACATCACGTTTACAGCATGGCTTCTAAAACGATCGGTTTGATCTTTGTCCAAAAACGATTTGCACCTTGGTCGGCGTATCAATAACAACGGTGCCACATTCTGGCACATTCCTCAGTGGGCCCAAGGCTCCCGGTGCTGCCGGCAGCGGTAACAAGGTTCGCCCGGCAATTTAGTACCAATCTAGTCTTTCTGAGCGAACGACTATAAAAACCAACGAACTGTGAAACATATATGA